GATGACCCCTCTATAGGTGACCCCTCTATAGGTGCTCCCCCCAGCAGCGCTGCCCTCCTCCGCCGTCCTCCTCCCCGGCAGGGGGCGCTCTCCCGCGCGCCTCTCGCCGCTCTCCCTGACGTCACTTCCGCCACCTCTCCTCCGCCCTCACTTCCGCCGCCGCCGAGCCCGGGAAAACCGCGCGCGCTCGGGCCGGTCCCGCTTCCGCTTCCGGAGGCGCTTCCGTTTCCGGCGGCGGCAGCGGCTCCTCAGGACGGGCCCGGGGCCGTTCCTGGGACCCGGGGCCGTTCCTGGGTCGCTCGGTCCTTTCTCCGGCCCGAGGTTGTCCCTGGGGCTCGGAGCCATTCCTCGGTCCCCCCGCGGGCTCGGGGCCTTCGCTCAGCTCCCCCCGCGGGCCCGGGGCCGTTCCTGGGCCCTGGCGCCGTCCCGCAGCCCTCCGTCGCTGTGTCCGGTTCGCCGCCGCTCCGCCGCCGCATGAGGATGGAGCGGGCCCGGGACGCGGCACGGCCCGAGCGCGGCCCCGCCTTCGGGCCCTTCCCGAGGGACCCCTCGGACAGGAAGGTGCGGGGCCCCTCCTCCCTTTTCCTGGGGGAATCCCGGCGGTATCCCGGGAGTTGGGGGGAGGGAGCGGGAAACGCGTTTGTTAAAGCCGCAAGACTTGAGGGACGCGGAGCCGGACGGCTCCGAACCGGTCATTCCGGGGGTGGGGAATCCTCGAGAATTTTGCTTCAGCCTTCGGGGAGTTCTGCTCCAGCCTCTCGGCGCCCTGTCAGGGAGGAATTCCTTCCCAAAATCCCACCTAAATATCCCCTTTCCCAGGTGGAAGCCCCTCACCCTTCGGCCCATCACTCCTTGTCCCAAGTGCCTCTTGGTGCCCCCGGGAAGGGAAAACCCCCTTGAAAGGTCGCTCCCAACCCAAACTGTTCCCTGATCCCGTGGAAATAAACAGGTGGGAACGCAGAAAAAGCTGCTCAAGGCTGTTCTTTAGGATCGATCCCATTCTTTAGGGTTCAGGGCTGAGCCCACACCCAAACCTCTGCTCTTCTCCCACAGTTTTTGCCCCCCAAGAGCTTCTCCTGCCCCTCTGGAAGTGCCTCCTGTGCCCTCGGCTTCACCCCCCCAGGTGAGAGGGGCAGCTCCTGGGGGGAGGGGGCTGCTTTGCCGGGGGGTTCCTGCCTTTTCCTGAGTGTCCCTGTGTGTTTCCCTGCAGAGTGTCCCCTTGTTTCCCTGAGTGTCTCTCAGTGTTTCCCTGAGTGTCCCTGAATTTCCCGAAGTGTCCCTCCTTTCCCTGAGTGTTTCCCTGAGTTTTCCTGAGTGTCCCTTGTCTCCCTGTGTTTCCCTGAGTGTTTTCCTGAATGTCCCTGAGTCTCCCTCCTTTCTCTGAGTCTTTTCCTGAGTTTCCCTGAGTGTCCCTCCTTTCCTTGTGTGTCCCTGAGTTTCCCTCCTTTCTCTGAGTCTTTCCCTGAGTGTCTCTGAGTGTCCCTCCTTTCCCTGAGTCTTTCCCTGAGTTTCTCTTTTTCCTGAGTGTCCCTCATTTCCCTGAGTGTTTCCCTGATTTTCCCTGTGTCCCTCTTTTCCCTGAGCATCCCTCCTTTCCCTGAGT